TGCCAGTCCACAAGGTGGGGGATGGCTACACATCCCTTCACCAAGAGGGTGTGGGGTACAAGGGGAATATCACACCTTTCTATTCATCAGCCACTAGTGTGACTACTCATGCATTCCTCAGCAAGCAGAGCTGATTCTTATGATGCTGCTCTGATTTGAACATCACTGCAAATATTCCAAATGGCCACCTCATCAGGACTGCAGACAGTCCATGGTTCCATTTGCCTCATTTGCTATTTTCATTCAGGTTCTTCTTCTAGTTCGTATTTAATCCACTTCTTTCTCCTTCCCTTCAAAGCTGAACATTCCAAGATTATCTCTGTTTCAATTGCATTCTCATTTCTTTGTCCTAGAGGGTCTATATAGCTTGTCTGCCTATTCTGCCATCTTGCTGAAAGTTCCCCAAGTGTACAAATTCTTGAGAGCAACTACAATCAGCTGTACAGCACTGCTTTTAATCAAAGCATCATTTCCATCACACCCTCTTTCCCACCTCCCTCCCACCCCTGGTAATCACTAATAAATTTTGTTATCCATATACATGTCCTTTCTTGTCTCTTTAAATAAGTGAAGTTACATAGTATTTGCCCTTTTGTGGTTGATTTATTTCACTCAGCATAATGTCCTCCAGTTCTACCTATATTGTAGCATGTATTAAGATTTCACTTCTCCTACCGGCTGAGTGCATGGGGTCGCTATGAGTTGGAAACAACTCGACGGCACTTAACAACAACAACTGGCTGAGTACTAGTCTATGTAGTACCACATTTTATTTATCCATTCATCTGTTGATGGGCTTTTAGTTATTTCTGTCTTTTGGCTAATATAAATAGTGCAACAATGAACATTGGTGTACAAGTCCCTTTGAGTGTCTGCTGTCAAGTCTTTTGGGTACATACCCATGTGGAATTGCTAGGTCATACCACAGTACTGTTTAATTTTTTTGAGGACCAATCTCACGCTTTCCACAGCAGCTGTATCATTTTGCATTCCCACCAGCTATTAATAATAATAAATATAAAATTATAAAGATAATAATACATATTATAATAAATAATAATTCCAATTTTCACATCCTTGCAAACATTATTTTTAATCTTTATCTTATCCGTACTAATGGAAGTGAAATGATATTTCATTATGGTTTTGATTTGCATCTCTCTGATGGCTACTGATGCTAAGCATCTTTGCATGTGCCTGGTGGCCATTTCAATGTCATCTTCGGTGAACTGTCTACTCAAGTCCTTAGACCATTTTATGAATGAGATGTCTTTTTGTTGTTAAAATGCTGAAGTTTTATATATATATTAGTTATTAGATTGTCAGGATTGAGACTTTTAATTATCCTTAATTTTCAAATGGTCAGTTTTTACTCAATGTAAGTAGTATTTCATAAATTCTGAAATAATTTAAAGTTTTTAAGGAGTAATCTGTATTTGTGCTGTTGGTTTATCTTTTCCCGTGTGTAAAGAAAATACAGCAGAAAACATAGCATGTAAAAAATATACAATCTTACTTATTCTTAGGACCCCAAATCTAGCTAGCAAGGCATTTTACTGAGAAAAATTATTTCCTTTCTTAAAGGGGAAGCTGCTATTTCTGATTTCATATCCTCTTTCAAATAGATACGTATATTTTCTTCCTCCTTAGTTTTGTTTTTTTTAAAAAA